GGATGAAATATGAAACAAATAAAATAAAACACATACAAAGCAGAAAACAGCTAAATGTATCAAAAAGTATGTCTATGTAATATTAGAATTTTCTGAGACAATGAATTTTTTTTCTTTACCAGTAAGAGGTTTTTATTTAATAGAATTTTTGGACCAAAAATATCGCAATACATCGCCTTGTTTACAGTATTGAAATATATCGGGATATATCGTATCATGACCCCTCTGTCATGATATGTATCGTATCGCCAAATTCTTGCCAATACACAACCCTAATACATACAGTACGCACAAACATACTTGTGTCTTTTTTTTTTGATACCATAAATAAATGACCAGACCTCTGACATGGATCTCGGTCAGTGTACTTTTTGGTCATTCGATATTTGTTTTAAAAATAAATACTGAAAAACRAAAAAGAGATGGTATATACAAACGGGAAAACGGACTGCCTTTTTGTTTTTGCCATACAGGAAAGACTTTTTTTTCTTTTCTCAAAGAATCTTTCTCATCCACTTTGTGCGAAGTACAGTGGAGCTGTTTGTTGTTTAATGTAACAGCAAACCTTGTGTCTGATAGAGGACGTGACTGCAGACAAACTTGGTTGAATTTTTCAGTTTAAAATTAGACATGCATCAGAGTTTACTCAAGCCATTTTCTGAACCAAATCTCCTGATGCTCCTCAGGAAGAACCCCACTTTCCTCTCCATAATGATGTGAAATAGCAGCAGAGATTGCCTTAAAAGACAATCCATAAACACAATTTCTTCAGAATTTGGTTGTAAAGCCAACCTAATAATGTTGAAATCTGCAAACTGACGAGATAAAGCCAAAAATTAAAATGAGCAGAGCCGTATTTAAGTGCCTTGAGCCATGACAACCATGGTAAAATTCTGGTTCGGCAAAAATGAAAAGACGGTCTGTTTTCCGTTTTTGGAATAGAAAATTAAAAAAAGGAAAATCATCCGTTTTTCGTTTTTGCAATATTGTTTTTTAAAATGAAAAACAAAAAACAAAGTGTTGTTTTATTTTTCAATATCTGTTTTTAAAATAAAAAAAATCAGTTTTTTTGCTTTTCATCATTTGTTTTTAAAAGAAAAATCGAACGACCAAAAAGTACACTGACCGATCTATATCAGTCATTCTTGGCTGAGCAGCGTCACTACTGATATTGATTTCCCACTTCTTTGTGTTTCTGTTTCTGGAGGGGAGATGTTTGTTTGAGCAGTCTCTGATCATATCAGACATTAATATTGGCCCAGTTTTACATATCGGGCCGATACAGATTTTAATGCCGACGTATCCCTATGAAGAAGTGTGTGACTATATGAACACATGAGTTCCTCTTTGATATTCACTGTATCATTAATTTTCATGAAAAACCACTGTATGTGTACCATCCAAAATAAGGAGRTTCAAACCACAAAAAAGACTATCTGACCTTTTCCAAGTTCAAGTTATCTTTAATATCCCCATGGAGCAGTTTGTGTTATTGCCAGCAGGAAAACAACATTCAACAATGAATACAATAAATACCATAAGAACTATCATGGCATAGGCATATCTACTATTTATCTACTAACAAACACAACACGTAACAAGAAGTATTTAAAAATAAAATAGCAGCAGGTAAAGAATGAATTCTTAAATCTGTTGGTTCTGCATCTTTTTAGTCCTTTGGTCCAATTGTTTGGTCCGGACCAAAAATTGACTTTCTTTTCCCGTTTGGTGCGGTTTGCATTCACATTGTGCTTTTTTGCAAACGAACTATCACTTGTAAACAAAGCCATGAGGCTGACGATCATTGCTCCCATTGGACAAAAAAAGGACGGGGGCGGGACTGAGCCACAGACCCAGAAGAAAACAAGGAAGTCCTGCATGTTGCGGCTCTGATGCACACATTTTTACTGATAGCACAGCTGCAATAGCATTTAAAATGTCAGAAGCAGCTAATTTAATGGTGGTTCCGTGA